CCTCTCCCTGAGAGGGGAAAGGGGGAGTCCCAGATCTCTCGCGCCAGCTACCCAAGACCCCAGTTCTGAGGCTGATGCGCTAGGCAGAGGTCGTGTGCTCTGGCTCCAGACTTGGTTTCAGCTCTATGCCTTGTGGCTGTCTTCCAGGGTGTGTGTGAGCCAGGAGAGCTGCTTCAGTACTCGGGCTGCATGTGCCTAGGGTTCCCTTCCCTAGGTGCCCAGTAAGTACTGCCCTTGGGGCTTGGGGCCACCATCCACAAGTTCCTTGTGTTCTGCCTCTGCTTGGCCATTTACTGCTCGGTTTTCGGCTGCCCTTTGTGTGCTAGGGTGTTCTGACTCCCTTGTTCGCCTAAGCGTAGGAGGCAGTTTGCATTGGTAAGGGGTACAAGGTACTGCGCAGCTTGTTTTCACTAATCATTGCGGCCGGCTCTGTTCCGCCTGGGTACTCTGTCCTCTTGCAGGGTTTTCTTTTTTCTTTTTTTTTGCTTGCCTGGTGAGGGGGTCTGCCTTGGTTGTTGCCCCCTGTGTTCCGAGTACTCTTCTCCTATTCGGTGGTACTCTTTGCATGGTTTCCGTGAGTGTACACGCGTCCTGGGGTTTCAGTTCTTAGAAGGTTATGGTCCTAAGTTTTCATCTTCATCTTGTTTGGCACTTCCAGCTTCTGGGTTGCCCTGTATGCATGTGGATGTACCTTCCGTTCCTCCTCTCCTGCTACTGCAGTTTCTTTTCGTTGGGCTGGGGAGGTGCTAGGTTTCAGGCCCTGGCTCCGGCCGTTTTCTGTGTGTTCACTTTCGGACGGTTCATTTTTGTTTTCGTGCTGTTCACATCCTGGTTTGTTCTCCTCATACCGTACTCAGCATTGCTTGCTTTGTTCTGCCCTGCTGGGGCTGCGTTCGCCGCTCCTGTGGGATGTGGTGTCCCTGTTTCTTGATGTTTCTTCTCATGGTGCTAGCTTCCTCGTTGGCCTTGGCCTTTGGCCCTGGCTCTTTGTTTTTCATCGCACTTTTGTCTTTGTTGTTTGAGGCTTCTGCGGTTCGGCGTTTTTTCTGTTGGCGGCTTCTAATTGTTATCGGTTGTCGGACTTGTTGGTCCTTAGGGGTCCCATGGGATTCCTCCCAGGTGGGGCATATCTGCTTGCCCAGGTTGGTTCTTTCCTGGCTTGCTGGGTTTGGGTTCCTGGTTTCTAGGCTTACCCTGCCAGTTGGTGTTTTCCTGATCTCGCGGTGTCACTTCTCACGAGTCTCACGTCGGCACCATAGTGTCTTCGGTCACCTGATGAGCTCGTTAGCATTGGGAAGTTTTCTGTACTGCAGACGTTCCATCTGGTTCTTTGCTGGCTTGGGTTTCTAGTTCTGCTTGCTCGATGTTCGCACCCGAGGTTTTCCCGCGGCTCCGCCTCTTCCTTTACTCAATCGATCCATGGCGGGGCTGGTTCGGTTCTGACTTGAGTCTCTCACCATTTGTTGGTGTTTAGGTGGTTTCGTTGATGGTGTCCCACCTGCGTGCTTCGTCTCGGCTGCAGTGTTTTTTTTTGGCAGTCCTTCCTTTTTCTTTTTGTCCCTTCGTAGGTTTGCTGTGTTTTGTTGGCGTAGTCTTGTCCTCCTCTTGTGGAGGTTCAGGGCCGTCATCTTGCCACATACTTTCGCCTTGTCTCATGAGGCGTTGGCGGAGCCGCTCCGGGATGCTCCGGTTTTGGTGTTCCCTCTGCACCAATTCACGAGCTGTCTCTGGCGTTGTTCACCCTGGCCTGCTCTTGTGCCGCTTGAGCCGTTCTGGTTCTTGGATTGGGTGCTCTCTTCTCTTCTCCTCGGTTTGTTGTGGCCCCTTCGGTTCTGGATTGTTTTCCGAGGTTGTTTTCTTGTTGGCGTTGGCCTCTGGAGGTTGGGTCGGGGTACTTCATGCTCTCCTCCGGTGCCAGGGCTCTGCTCTTTTGGTCCTCGTGATAGGTTTGTTCACTGGCAGCCACCTCTTTTTTCTGGAGAAGACTGACACTGCTGTTTTCCAGAGGGGTTCTTGGGTTGTTGATGCTTGGTTGGTCAGGCCGTGGGTGCATCTTGTGTTGTGTTTGGTTGCGGCGCTTCACTGTTCTTAGTGTGCCACGGCTACTGTGACCAGGGTCACGCTTGGGTTCCTCCAGTTTCTATTCATCCCTGTTCCAGGATGCGGTTCTCTCGGGTCGTCCGCGAGGTAGTCGTCCAGCCAGCCTGCAGTCTTTCCCCATACCCACAACGTTCGTAGGTTGCCTACGCGCTCCTTTGTTGATGTTGCTGGGTCTAGTCGGGCAGATGCGGCCTTGGGTTGGCGGTTGCAGCCTTTTGTCACCGCTTCGCATTGGGGAGTGAGCGACAACCACCTCCTTGGTTAGGTCCCTCTTGTTTTTGTCTTTGGGTAGGTAGCTCTGGGGAGCCGACAGGGCTCCCCCCTAGATACCTGGTTGATCAGGTTGATGGGGTTCTGGGAGTTCTTCTACTCCCCAAGCCCGGCCCGAGGCCAGGCTCGACTTGTGAGAGTCTGGTCCACCAGGCTGTTGCTTGGAGCAGCCCGCAGGGCCATGTACCCACCACACCCCGGCTGATCCGGAACTTCTCTTAGAAAACCGTCCAGTTTCCTCTTGAAGATGTCCATGGTTGTTCCGTCAATATTTCTTATGCTCGCTGGGAGGACGTTGAACAGCCGCGGACCTCTGATGCTTATACAGTACAGTGTTCTCTGATTGTGCCTATGGCACCTCTGCTCTTCACTGGTTCAATCTTGCATTTTTTTCCATGTCGTTCACTCCAGTACGTTGTTATTTTATTGTGTAGATTTGGGACCTGGCCCTCCAGTATTTTCCATGTGTATTTTATTTGGTATCTCTCTCATCTCCTTTCTAGAGAGTACATTTGGAGAGCTTTGAGACGATCCCAATAATTTAGGTGTTTTATCTCGTCTATGTGTGCCGTATATGTTCTCTGTATTCCCTCTATTTCAGCAATCTCTCCTGCTCTGAAGGGGGAAGTGAGTACTGAGCAGTACTCGAGATGAGACAACACAAGTGACTTGAAGAGTACAACCATTGTGATGGGATCCCTGGATTTGAAAGTTCTCGTAATCCATCCGATCATTTTTCTGGCTGACGCGATATTTGCTTGGTTATGCTCCCTAAACGTTAGATCGTCGGACATCATTACTCCCAAATCCTTGACATGCTGTTTTTCTACTATGGGCAGATTCGATTGTGTTTTGTACCCTGTATTATGTTTCAGATCCTCATTTTTGCCGTACCTGAGTACAGTACCTGAAATTTATCACTAGAAAACCAGCATTGAGTGTAATGAAAAGCCATTTTGTGGGTGAGACCCGAAGGCTCCCCAGCAACCCTCCCTCCGGTCAGCGTTTTTTTGCGTGTTTTGATATCCAACCTCAGAATTGGGGTCTTGGGTAGCCGGCACGAGGGGTCTAGGGCTCCCCCTTTCCCCTCCCGAGGAGGGGGAGAGCTGTGCAGATGGTAGCACGGCGACGTGGTGACGTCATGCTCGTTAGCTCATTTTTATTTTGCCAGTTCTGTTCACTAGTTCGGCTCTCAGTAGCAATTTCTTAACCAGAAGAGGGGTTTGTTTTGGGATGCTTACCTTTCTGGGTGCCTGACCCAGTTGATGTCAGACAGAATGCTTCCAACCACATGAGAGTTTCTATAGGCAATTGCTCCTTGTGCCTCTCTGAGGGAGCCAGGTTCTGGCTCGTGGTCCAGAACCCACGACCACATACACATGACTGTGGTCATGTGACATGACCACAGTCATGTCACTGACTGACGCTAAAGTCAGTCAGTGACAGACTTTACTGTCAGTCACACATGACTGACGCTAAAGTCTGACATTAGCAACATCAGCCTGGATAGCTCCGGGGAGCCTCCAGGTCTCACCCAGAAAATGGCATTTCATTACATTCAACGCTGGTGTTTTACTTATCTGTGGGTATTTAACTTCAGGGAGCCAACAGGGACTTCCCTCAGAGAACCAGCATTGAATGTAATGAAATGCCATTGTCTGGATGAGCCCTGGAGGCTCCCTCACACCTTCCGGTTGCCGTTTTTTTTTTTTTTTTTTTTTTTTTACATTATACAAACTGGGGGTGGTGCAGTTGACTTGCCTGAGGGGCTTCCCCTCTCCCATGTTGTCGAAGGGGGGCTAACGAGCGGGTGCGCTAGTTGGATGATGATTGCTTGTTTCCTGCATTTCTTTTGGGGGAGTTCTTTGGCTCTATTCAGACGTTAGTTCTCTTCCCCCAACTTTACCAGTTGGTGGTTTGTATTGGTTCGTCTACCTTTCTGGGTTTCTTCCCAGGTCAGTGGCAGACATGAAAAACTCTAAATGTAGAGACTCATATGGCCATTGCTCCTTGCACCTCTTTGAGGGGGCCAGGTTCTGGCTTGTGACCTCCAGTAGACATAGAACTCCAGGGACTGATAGCACTAAACTAATATGGCACATGTCAGTTTGATAGGTTCAGGAAGCCTCTGGGGTTCACCCAAAAATGGCATTTCATTACATTCAACCTTGGTTTTATAGTTTCATCTGTTGTATTGAAGATGTCATATATTGTGGGTGTCCTCTCAGGCTGGTTGGTTTATTGAAGAGGAAATGAAGATACTAATGAAACCTTGCTCCGAAACGTGCGTATTGGTGGCTTTAGGCATAGTATGTACTAGTTCTATCTAGAAATCCAAAATTTTGTTTGTGACTCATTTTGAATGTATGTACTTTTACCTGAATAAACATTATCATTATCTTAAAATTAAAACTGAACTACAGTATATAGTATAGTTTTAGCAAGTGCAAACAAGCAGTAAAATTGGGTTTGCAGGCTGGAGAGTCCCTATGCCTGGTTTATATATGCCTATTGTCATCTTAAAATTAATAGTCACAATAATACACAAAATTAATAAACATCTGTTAATAATATTAGATTGTCTCATCTTAAGCTAGTGATAAAAATTGTGTTGGATTGTTTATCAACAGGTTACGAGGTGAAGGGTTTGGAGAATCTGCCCGAAGAGGGTCGTTGCCTGATTATCTATTATCATGGTGCCATTCCCTTAGACATCTACTACCTGGTGGCTCGAACTATTTTAGTCAAGGGACGACTCATACACTGCGTGGGAGACAGATTATTGGAGAAAGTACCAGGTTAGTTGGCAAAGTGTAGAAGATTTCAAGATATGATCTGTAAATAAGTTATTGAATCTTTAAGTGTGGTGATCCTTCAAAATTCAATGAGGATTTGTGCCAGGAAATCTTGTAGTCACAAAATTGTTAGCTTGTAAACTTGATTTCTTCTGGAAAAATATTGGTTTGTTCCATATCAATAATAAGACAGCCAGCCAGATATAGTAAGAGTTGAAGGTGGGAGTATCAGACTAAGACACTGGTTAAGGCATGTACAAGATTACAGGTGGAAGGGCTACAGAAGGGCAAGTGCCTACCTACAGGAAGTTCAATGGGAATATAAATTGCAGATGAAAATGACAAATAACAAGATGGAAACATAAAAGTGCAACTGTCACAGAATATATTTGCTCTTCTCTATAGGTGTGAAGATACGAGGTAAATGTTGGGGTGTGATGTTCTGACCTGTTTATTGATCTGTTTATATTAATGCAACAGTTGTGTTGATTCTCCTACTCCATTGTTAACTGAGTTGCAGCTGTGTGTGAAGCTTTTCAAGAAATTTTAGAAAGTGCACATATCATTAGAGTATTAATGTAAATTAATAAAAAGATGAGAGTTTTTTAGTTTAGTTCATTTATTATGCACCCCGTACCCATCCTGTGGGCAGTAGTGGAAAGGGGGTTACAGCGACACATAATGGGCTCAGGGACTGAACCCCAAAATTCATTTAGCTAAGCAAGTTACAATCTTGATGAGCTATTCACAAAATTCAATGCACATCATCACATCAACAGTGGGCTCAAGACCGACTACAAGTACAGTTTCTAAATTAAGCAACTGACACAAGTGGAGAGCTAGTGTTATAATTTATATGTGTATCCTTCACACCGCCTCCCATCCAGTGGGCAACGGTGGATAGGTTACAATCACTCAGTTACTACCTACAGTTAGCAAACTGGGGATATTTGGCTAATGTTACTGGTAACATAACTTTGAATGAAATATTTACATATCTCTCGAACATTTGTTATGGAATTGTTTCTGAATTCACGTATCTTGTCACACTCCATCACATAGTGACGGAGGGTGTGCGAATAATTTTGTTGACATAGTTTACATTTAGTCAAGTCTATATCAGCAGGTAATTAACATTCCCAAAAATCCTTATAGCCGAGTTTAAGCCAAGCAGTAGTAACATCTAGGAGTCTGCTGATTTTATTGGATTATCCATAGATTTGTGGCTCTTCTGTGAAACTGTATAAATGCAGTCTGCTCTCAACTTAACTGTTGTCAACATTTTGTACACTGTTCAACAATCATAATGATAAATTTCCTAGTATGAATAAAAATAATTTAGTTTTTGAACTGAAGAAATGTTAACCTTGCTCTGTTAAGTGCAAGGTTAACATTTTTTGCATTTATTTATGTTGCAATATAATTCAATCTTTTTTCAGGTTGGAAGGTTATATTAGAAGCTTTCGACATAACTCCAGGAACCATTAGTTCATGTATCCAGACACTGTCTGAAGATCACATTCTCTCTATATCACCTGGAGGTGTTCGTGAGGCCCAGTTTTCAGACCACAACTATCAACTTATGTGGGGCAAACGTGCAGGGTTTGCTAAAGTAGCCATTGGGGCAAATGCAGTAAGTCGTAAGAAAGACAATTATTATTAGGATTGTAGTAGTCATAGATATGAGTCTTTAAAATGTGGTGTGTCTGTCTTCTGGAATTCTCAGGTGCCTGTCTCTTACATCACACCATGTGGGCTATCACTTGGGAATTTCTGTTTGTTATTCTCTTCATTGGCAAATCTTTAGTAGCTTTCCTATCTCTCTGTGTTAATCCAGGTCATCTTAATGAGAAGCTCTCATGTCAAGTATCTGGGGATGCTTGTTTACTTTTTATGTAAAATTCATTTGCAACATTTTATTTCTACATTAATTACTGGTCTACAAATATGCATAGATAAATATTATTCTACATAGTGTATTTATTATAGTTTAAGTAGGGGGTTTGACTGTGTGTCTCCTATTTTCCTCTCTGTTTTGGTTTTGTTCTCAAAGCTGTATAATGTTTTTTTCTTGAATTGTAAGAAATTCATTAAAGTAGTGCACTATTATTGCTACTGATATTGATAAGATGCTTAATTATTCAATATTGACATTCAAAAAAATTAAAGAGTATTGTACTTTAACAATGCAGAAACTAATGTAGCAATATTTTTTCCAGCCCATTGTTCCCATGTTTACTGAAAACCTGCGTGAGGCCTTCCGCACAGTGTCCTGGCCGCAAAAATTGTGGGTTACTCTTTATGAAAAATTAAGATTTCCGTGTGCTCCCTTATACGGTGGATTTCCAGTCAAGGTATTATTTTCATGTACAGTACTGTACTTGTACAGTAACTTTTAATTTATACTATTATTTTGCATATTATTATGTGTGTGCATAGTTCAAAGGAAAATAAATCGCAGAATGGTAATGATATTCATGATAGTTTAACCTCTATACTGCACAAAACTTCGTATGAAGTGTGACATTGTGCTCAGTTTTTTTAATTTTTTGACTCTCTTTCAAATGTTTTGTGCATAATCTACGAGACAAATGCTCCAACTTTGTCTAAATGATACCAGTGTAACTTGAAAAACAAGAAAATAAAAAATAATTATAAAATTGAATAATAATTTGAAATCAGATTTTGAAATCGGCAAAAATATAAGATATCACCAATTGTTCATTTGGTGTTATTATGCTCTCAGAATAGCATATGATCTTCATTTTCATATATTTAGAATATAGGTTTTCAGTATAATTTACTGTAAAAAGAATTTGTCAATATGGCATTTGAAATATGTGCATATTTAGACAACAAAAAATTATAACTCCAAATGTTTAGAGTTTATGAAAAATCAATTCTATAGGGATTGTAAAGCAGACAGCTGTACACACTATTTGTATAAATGGTGAGAATCAGTCAGAAACTAGATTTTTGGATACTGAAGTTAAAATTCTAGTTACAGATATAATTAAAGTTGAAGTTATTGACAATGAATAAGGCAGTTTTAATTCATGAATTTACTTTGTTTTAATAAACATTGTTTAGCATTCATACTTGAATATGTGAAAGTTGTAGGTCAATATGTGTTGAAATGAAGTCAAGAAAATATACCCCCTCCCCCCCCAAAAAAAAAGTAGGGATAATTATAATAATTATAATGATTTAAGGGATATATTTAGGGTATACTTTATATAAGTAAAAAAGCCATTATCTGGTCCCTAATCATCAAAACAACCTGAAGAAACAAAGAAAATAGAGTTTGAAATCTGTGAAAAATCAGCCAAAAAAATTTCGGTCCCAAGTTCTGAGAGTTGTGACTGATTTATTTATTGACTAATTTACTTGTGTCTTCACATAGTCAGAGACGGGTATGCACTCTCCAACATGTAAAGGTTACAACAAATTCAAATAATAAACAAAGGATTGAAAAAACCTAAAAAAAAATATTTCCCCTAAAAAATATTTTTTTGGACATTGTTGAAAGTAACTAATAATAACTTTGGGCAATGTATTTATATGATATATAACAAAATAGAGCATACTAACATACTTATTCATTATTATTTGTGTTATGTATTACTCACCAATGCTATAAAGGCACCAGCTGCATATCCACTTTGTGGACATTTCTTACTACTATTCTTCTTCTTTGTGCATTGGACAAGTGCTTGCATCTCTTTTATCATTGCATTATCCATCAGTTTCAGTTAATAGGAGCTGTTCTCCTTATTAACGAAATGTTCTTTTTTTTAAATATTTGTCTAAAATCAATTTATGAAAATTATATGATGAAAGTTTCACAATTATGAAGCCAATAAGTTGGAGATTTGTTTAACATTTTTAAGTAATTTTTACAAAATACAAATATTTTTTTGAATTATGCCTCCTTATGCTGAGCAGTTTAAGGGTTAATCAGCATGCAAATCTTTATTCAAGATAATAGTGCTTTTACATAAACTAGGAACTCAGGTATCTAGTGCTCTTACATAACAGAGGAACTCTGGTTTGTACTGCCTTTTTTGTTTCTTAGGAATTCAGGTTTCTAGCACTCTTACATATACTAGGAACTCAGGTTTCTAGTGCTTTTAAGTAACATAGGAACTCAGGTTTATAATGCTTTCACTTTAAATAGGAACTCAGGATGGTAATGTAATTCAATTAGTTAATGGATACAGTACCTACTATCAATAGTTTTTTTTCCACAGCTACGGGCTCATCTTGGTAAGCCAATTTACCATAAACCTGGTGAGAGTCCAGAAGAGTTGGCAGAAAGAGTACGTGAGGCATTAGATAACCTTATTCAACAAAATCAGAAACTTCCAGGCAACATATTGAGAGCTTTGTTAGCCAGGATATATGAAAGCCCTAAGGAAGATTAGTAAGTGAGACTACTTAAACCAAAGATATAAATAGTAAAACTATTAGTGTTTTCAAGGTACTGTATATTTATACAAATTATTTTGTCAAATACTATGAAACTTTCTGCCCTGGTCATCTATACACAGTTTCCTCATCATTCAAGTCCAGCAACTTGGGCTGGACGGTAGAGCAACGGCCTCGCTTCACACGGGTCGGCATTTAATCTCCGAACCATCCAAGTGGTTGGGTACCATTCCTTTCCTTTGTCCTATCTTAAATCCTTATCTTGATCCCTTCCCAGTGCAATATAGTTGTAATGGCTTGGCACTTTCTCATGATAGTTCCCTTCCCCTCACCATCTTTCGAAGAAATGTGACTTTCCATCTAGCATAATGCATGTATCAATAAAGCAGCAGGTGCTGGATATTTTGCTCAAGCCCAGTGACTTCTATTATTTTGATTAGATGCTTAGTATTGTCAGATATATCACACTCATAAAGAATTATGACTTAAAGGACTTTATAGACTTTTTTTATATACTGTTAATAGATTGCTGCCAAAAACCTTTGAATGTTAAAATATGGAAGTTGAGGAAAGTTGCATTTTTGGGCTGAAAATGAGATGCTTGGGTCTTAGCAAACCTATAAATACTTAATATATTGTGTGTGTGTGTGGTATGTATGTATATGTGTATATATTTATGTTTCATTGAATACGACTGCATATTCTGTGTTGATTATTTTCTTGTTTAGGGCTTCTATCTCTCTGACTAATGCTCTTGTATCTTGGTTTAATTGGAAGAGGATTTCTCCAAATGTCATCTTTGTTCGAGGTAAACTAAAAGAAATAATTAACTGTAGAATGTATTACACATTATAAATTTACACAATGTTTCAAACCTACATGGTTCATTTTCAAGTGAATAGGATAGTACTGGGTTTATTGGATTTATTGGATTTATACCATTAGGGAGGTCAGGCACATACAAATACAAATAGATGAAGAGTAAGGCATAAAAGGGAGAAGAATAAGGGGAAAAAATGGGAGGAAGCATATTCAAAGATTAATCTGGTGAGGTGGGCATGGCTTTTTGAGCAATGTCGTCTACATTGGCATCTTCACATTCCGGTCTTGTTCTTGCTCTCGTGTTGGGTAGTGTGAATAGTTCCGTTATTTGGGTATTTATATGGGATTGTTCTACTTTTATGTGGATTGCTTCAATAATTTGTAATCTTCTTACATCTTGGGCTTTGTCTATTATACGAGTATTTTTATACAACATTTCTCTTGTTAAAGTGATGTCATGGGCTTGTCCCATGTGATTCTTGGGGGCACCTAATTGAAGATGACAGGTCAAACGTCTCGTGAGCTTGGTCGACGTCATACCTACTGTATCTACAGTGGAACCTCGAATAACAAATTTAATCCGTTCCGGCGCCATGATTGTCATGTGAAACGGATGTCATACAAATCGAATGTCCCCATTGAAAATAATGGAAATCAAATTAATCCATTCTACCTCTGAAAAACATCAATATAATATTGGATGTTTTGAATAATGGAGCAGCTTACCTTACATACACTGAACAAACCTTTATGACATTTTTCTTTCTTCAAAATTGCTCAATTTTTTTTTATTTCTTGTATAGCAAAAGGTTTGTTCGATGTTTGTCAGTAAGGCTGCCTGTCAGGGTTTGTCAGGGGAGCCGGTCGGCCGAGCGGACAGCACGCTGGACATGTGATCCTGTGGTCCTGGGTTCGATCCCAGGCGCCGGCGAGAAACAATGGGCAGAGTTTCTTTCACCCTATGCCCCTGTTACCTAGCAGTAAAATAGGTACCTGGGTGTTAGTCAACTGTCACGGGCTGCTTCCTGGGGGTGGAGGCCTGGTCGAGGACTGGGCCGCGGGGACACTAAAAAAAAGCCCCGAAATCATCTCAAGATAACCTCAAGATAAGGCTGCTCCATGTTTCTTATTAAAAACAAAAAAACAAAAACAAAAATTAAGAATTTTGAAAAACAGAACATATGTCAAAAATGTTCGTTAGGTGTTCGGCAGGTAGGCTGTTCCATGTTAATTAAATAAAAAAATAACAGTTTAAATAATTTGAAAAACGGACAAATGCCATAAAAGTTCGTTCATTATTTGCCGGGTAGGCTGTTCCATTATGACAATCTTTCTGTGTTCCTTTTGTTTTGTGTATTTCATTTATGTAGGCAATAATGGAGCAGTCTACCTGACAAACACTGAACGAACCTTTATGGCATTTGTCCGTTTTTCAAATTGTTTAAACTGGTTTTTTATTTTTATTTTTTTTTATTTAAGAAATATGGAGCAGCCTACCTGCCGAACACCAAATGAACCTTTTTGACATTTGTTCTGTTTTTCAAAATTCTTAATTTTTGTCTTTTTTTTTATAAGAAACATGGAGCAGCCTACCTGCCGAACACCAAACAAACCTTTTGACATTTGTTCTTTCTTTAAAAAAGTTCATTTCGTTTTTCTACAAAAAGTCATTGCTTTGCAACATTCCAACATCAATAGCATCTGTACACAAAGGAAAATTTTGTATTTGCATCGTCGGAGGTGTCCGAGAATGTGCGAGAAGCAGCCCCAGACCCCACCATGTGGTGTTAACATTATTCAAACGAGCGGTCGCCTAAACGAGACGAATTGTTGGCGATCGAGGCATTCGTTATCCAAAATGGTCGCCATTTGAGGCGGTCATCACACGAGGTTCTACTGTACTTAGATTGAAGGCTACATCCTTCGTGAGGGCAGGTGCACATTTATATATACCACATTCGACTGCTGTAAAGGGTTCTCCATTGACTTCAGGCTGTTTAAATAAGGAGGTCGGTAGTCTTCTTTGTTTTATATTACAGTGGAACCTCGACTTACAAATAACCCTACTTACATATTTTTTTTAGTTTCCTGGTGGCACAGGCGACCGCACTTCAGTTTACCAGTGTCACACGCCTAGTGGCGATCACTTGAATATTGTATTTGGGAGGACAACAGGATGGATGGTGGGATGGACTGGATGGATGGATGGTGAGGGGACTGGATGGATGGGTGGTGGGGAGGACTGGATGGATGGATGGTGAGGGGACTGGATGGATGGATGGTGGAGGGGACTGGATGGATGGATGGTGGAGGGGACTGGATGGATGGATGGTGAGGGGACTGGATGGATGGATGGTGAGGGGACTGGATGGATGGATGGTGAGGGGACTGGATGGATGGATGGGGGGGGGACTGGATGGATGGATGGTGAGGGGACTGGATGGATGGATAGTGAGGGGACTGGATGGATGGATGGTGAGGGGACTGGATGGATGAATAGTGAGGGGACTGGATGGATGGATGGTGGAGGAACTGGATAGATGGATGGTGAGAGGACTGGATGGATGAATGGTGAGGGGACTGTATGGATGGATAGTGAAGGAACTGGATAGATGGATGGTGAGGGGACTGAATGGATGAATGGTGAGGGGACTGGATGGATGGATGGATGGATGGAGGGGACTGGATGGTGGGGGAACTGATGTTTAACAGTGATAAATTCCAGGTACTCAGGTACGGTAAAAATGAGGACCTTAAACATGATACAGGGTATAAAACACAATCAAATGTACCCATAGTAGGAAAACAGCATGTAAAGGATTTGGGAATAATGATGTCTGACGACCTAACGTTTAGGGAGCATAACCAAGCAAATATTGCGACAGCCAGAAAAATGATAGGATGGATTACAAAAATGTTCAAATCCAGGGATACCATCACAATGGCTGTACTCTTCAAGTCACTTGTGTTGTCCCGTCTTGAGTACTGCTCAGTACTCGCTTCCCCCTTCAGAGCAGGAGAGATTGCAGAAATAGAGGGAATACAGAGAACATATATGGCACGCGATAAAGCACCTAAATTATTGGGATTGTCTCAAAGCCCTCCAAATGTACTCACTAGAAAGAAGACGAGAGAGATATCAAATAATATACACATGGAAAATACTGGAGGGACAGGTCCCAAATCTACACAGTAAAATAACAACGTACTGGAGTGAACGATATGGAAGAAAATGCAGAATAGAACCAGTGAAGAGCAGAGGTGCCATAGGCACAATCAGAGAACACTGTATAAGCATCAGGGGTTCACGGTTGCTCAACACCCTCCCAGCAAGCATAAGAAATATTGCCGGAACAACCGTGGACATCTTCAAGAGGAAACTAGATTTATTCCTCCAAGGATTGCCGGACCAACCGGGCTGTGGTGGGTATGTGGGCCTGCGGGCCGCTCCAAGCAACAGCCTAGTGGACCAAACTCTCACAAGTCAAGCCTGGCCTCGGGCTGGGCTTGGGGAGTAGAAGAACTCCCAGAACCCCATCAATCAGGTATCAACCAGGTATAGATGGATGGTGAGAGGACTGGATGGATAAATGGTGATGGGACTGGATGGATGGTGAGGGAACTGGATAGATGGATGGTGAGGGAACTGGATAGATGGATGGTGAAGGGACTGGATGGATGAATGGTGAGGGGACTGGATGGATGAATGGTGAGGGGACTGGATAGATGGATGGATGGTGAGGGGACTAGATGGATGGATGGATAATGAGGGAACTGGGTGGATGGATGGTGAGGGGACTGGATGGATAGATGGATGGTGAGGGGACTGGATGGATGGATGGTGAGGGGACTGGATGGATTGATGGATGGTGAGGGGACTGGATGGATGGATGGATAGTGAGGGAACTGGGTGGATGGATGGTGAGGGGATTAGCTGGATGGATGGTGAGGGGACTGGATGGATGGATGGCGAGGGGATTGGATGGATGGATGGTGGGGGGAACTGGATAGATGGATGGTTAGGGGACTGGATGAATGAATGGTGAGGAGACTGGATGGATGGATGGTGGGGAGAACTGGATGGATGAATGGTGAATGGACTGGATAGATGGATGGTGAGGGGACTGGATGGATGGTGAGGGGACTGGATGGATGGATGGTGAGGGGACTGGATGGATGGATGGTGAGGGGACTGGATGGATGGATAGTGAGGGGACTGGATGGATGGATGGGGAGAGGACTGGATAAATGGATGGTGAGGGGACTGGATGGATGGATGGGGAGGGGACTGAATGGTAGAGGAACTGGATGATGGATGGTGGGGAGAACTGGATGGATGGATGGTGAAGGAACTGGATAGATGGATGGTGAGGGGACTGGATTGTAGGGGAACTGGATGGATGGATGGATGGTGAGGGGACTGGATGTATGCTGAGGTGTTTTGATGGATGGACGATGAGGGGACTGGATGGATGGTGAGGGGATTGGATCAATAGATGGACGTTGATGGCACTGGAAGGATCGAAAGGGGACTGGATGGATGTTGAAGGAACTGGATGGAGGGATGGTAAGGTGACTGGATTGGTGGATGGATGGTGAGGGGATTGGATTGATAGATGGATGGTGAGGGGACTGGATGGATGGTGAAGGGACTGGGTGGATGGATGGTGGGGGAACTGGATGGATTGATGTTGGGAACACCGGATTAATGGCAGGTGAGTGGGACAAGGAGGCTAGTTGCGGGGTGGGGGACGGGAAAGAAAATCTTTTAGAAACACCAGCACTAGAATCATGTAAGGAAAGAACACATGGAGGGCAGGTGATAGTGGATGGATGAATAGTAGGGCAGGCAGAGCTGAACAAGTGGGTGGTAGATGGTAGACTAAGGAGGTGGGTAGCAGGCCAGTCAAAAGACAGTGGTTGGGCAGATGAGTA